GGTGAGGAGGAGCCGCGCACGACAGGGACATTTCGGGGCCAAGGGGGACGCTCTGGGGGTGGGGTGGGCCGGCAGGGGGGGGATCCGGGGCCTGCTCCAGGCAGAGCTGGGGAGAGACCCAGCTCCACATAGTGGTGGAGCAGGGCCCTGGCTCTTAACTCGCCGGCACTTAGGGGTGCAGGGGCGTGGGCAGCTACCAGGCACGCTGAGGCCCGGGCCGCGGACCATAGTTTGGGAAACGCTGACGTATATTAATTCTTTCTTTAGTTTCAAGCATTCATCATGTGTAGGGCTTGTCTCACTATTACTACAAGAAAGTTAGTGTCAAGTATTTTTCAGTACAATCCCAACAGTTTATTAAAAGCATGACATTGCTAACATTAGTGAAGCAGGTCAAACAGAACATATTGTGCTTGTGCTGGTTAATGCATGGGTAGATTGAAAAGAGTGACATGAAAAGAAAGAGAATAAATGCACAGATAGTGTGAGGAGAACATAAGACTAAAATAATTTTTAAAAATAATCAAAATCCATAAACCTCAAATTCAGGTTTTTGGGGGCCAGGAAAGATCAGAATTTGGCCAATTCTTATTGCTTATGAAATCCCATTCTTAATCTCTTATTCCACAACTGCTCTGAGTTATGAGACAGAAGGATGCAAAAGATGCAGTACTATAAAGAAGACTTTAATGCCTGTATTCAGACTAATGTTTTTTCACCTATCAAATTGCTCATATGATTTGGGATATAGATCAATGTTCACTTTCGATTCATACATATATAGAAGAGACTTCCCTTTCAACACCTGCCTTCTATGACATAAATAGAAAATTCAAAATTAACTGATATTCATCTCTGATGGTTGGCTCTGACTGAACCAAATCCTTTCAATTCTTGGAAGGAACATTTTTCAGCACTTAGATTTGGTTCAGTCATTCATTGTAACAATTTAGCTCAAAGCCAAAGTCTATGCTGGAAAAAAAGCATGTTTTAAATTGGGTTAGCTAACTCAGATTAAAATAGCAACGAAGACTTGGCAATTCAGATTTTAATTTGGTGAGCAGCTGCGGTTCAAGCCTGTAAGACTACAGGAGTCAAGCACTGACAGGTTGATAGTGAATGGAAGATGACAGGTAAAGTGGACAATTATTCTGAAGGGCTTTCAAAGTGAATACAAACAGTTATGTCTGATATGGTGAAGGAGTGGATATGCCAGTGGAGGGATTAAAAGAGAGAGGGGTGACCTGGTTAAAGCAACAGGCTAGAAAATTATTTCTGGAACAGCATTCTGGATGGAAATGAGCCAGGCAAGACTCAGCTGACTGTGAGGGTTAAGGACTACTCAGCATCACGGTGACAAACGCTGGCTCTTAAAATTTAGGGATATAATACTAAACTGACAGTTGAGGTGTTTTACATGAATCTCTCTGTCCTGTATTTATC